TCTATAAAACGAAAATTAGCAAAAAATAATAAAAAATCATTGAGAAAAAGGGTAATTTAGGGATTTAAAAATTTCAAATGATCAAATGGGAATTTTTTTTTTCCAAGTTAACTAATTAACCATAGAGTTTTCATCAGAATCTAAAAATTCAGGGGTATTATAAAAGTTCATGAGGTAATCCATATTTAAAATTTTTTTAGGGGGAGTGTTTCGTAAAAATGCCAAATCAGAAAGCTTAGGAATCCCCATAACTTTGTTGACCAGTCATGGCTCCAAATCAAAATTTTGCTGATAATGAGTAGGAGGAGTGATTGAAGTGAGGAATCAAGGAATCATGAATGATGGGATTTATGTTTGGACGTCATGGTAATTGAAATCGGTCCCGGGTCTAAAGACTAAAAAGCGTGTAACACGTATCATTCTAAAGTCTCTAACAGTCATTGGCATTTATTCCCGCTCACGAACTTTCACAAACAGCATTGCTTCTTTTATACGTTTCTCTGACTTTCTTTCCCGTTCCATTCAAGACGTAACCCAAACCTACTCACTTCCCACTCTACATTGAAAAAAAGTACAGACCACACACTACGGATTTAGAGTTTAGAAGAAGCCCTCTGATTAAACTTTTATCAAAGCAAACCAAGGAAAAGATCCAAAGTCCTTCTATCACTTATAAGTGACGACGACACTTGTTGGAGTTTTTCCGGCGTGGGAAGGAGCCTTGCGATTTTCACCTCCGGCTTCGTTTAGTGCTATTAATGGATCGGGTCTATCCGATGGATTCGAATCCACCAAATTGATTATAATGATTCTAGTTCTGTAATTTTGTTCCGTTTAATAATTGGGTCGGTTTTGATTCTTGCCTATCTCAAACCAATTCAGATATATATAATATTTTCTTAACTTTTTTAAATTTGATAAATAATAAATAAACAATATTAATCAGAATATGACTCGATAAATTCGATTAGTAACTGAAATGGTTCTGGGTCTATGATGTTGTCCCGATTAATAATTGATTCAGTTCTCCAAATCCGACCCATTTAACAGCCCTAGCTCCAGGCTCTAATTTCAAGACTTGGATTCCAAAAATGTACACGGAACATGTATAAACCCACTCGGGATGGAGGAGGATACAATTGGAGCATTACGAAACACCACGTCAGCCTGATAGGTGAGCTACTATCCGAATTATGAGTAATACTATATATAGAGGATGGGATGCTGTTTGCAAATTTAGAGTCAGAGGATCAACCGCATAATGAACTGTTTGGCCTATGACATTGACTGTTTGAATAATAGCCTAGCTGTGCTTCTTCCTGGGTCGACTACGCTTAAATATGATTATTAAAAAGCACAAAGCAATAAGTAATTCTCAGTAGTAAAAAGCAAATGAAATGGCTCCTAACTATTGCCGTGATTGTACGTACCTGTACTGCTTTACTCGATAAATCCTCCCCTCTTAAGCTCAACCAAGGACAAGGAGCGCTCCTCAGGTGTAGGGCTGTTTTGGGAAATGGGATTTGATGTGGAATTCCAATTCGATTGCATGACACAAGATTTAATTAGCAGGATTCGAAATAACATGGGGGTGTTAAACCATTTGAATTCAGGGAAGTTGATACGGCCGGGAATGGAATTTCATTACAAATCTACTCCATAATCCAAACAGGTCTTAAATAAACAAGCTTCTTTGAAAAAAATTAAAAACCAAATTAGTAACTAAATTAGTTAGTTTGGGCATATGTTATTATTGAGAAGTCATATGGCTTTGGATTTATGATAAATTGATTATGTGGAATATTTTTACTTTCGTATTTTACTTTGAAAACACTTTAAATATTTTTTTAAACATGGTTTTCAAGGCAAAAATAAGTGAAGGCGTTTGTACAATAAAATGTTTTATATGTATATGCCACATGGCATTATATATGAATGCCAAGTGGTATACATTTGCCATTAGTTATATTCAAATGTTACATGGCATTTAAATAATATCATATATTATACATGTCATTAAATATATTTAAATTTCACATTACATTCATATATGTTATCATGTGATGGGATGTATAAATATTACATGTATAGTTGGTGCATACGTTTTAAAAAGTATAAAACATATTAGAGAGCCAAAAAACACAAAGTATCAAAAGTTGATTTCGTGCTTTTTATATTGATTGTATTTTTATTATGTTTTTTTTAAGTAAAAAACATGTCAAACAAATGCAAACTAATATTTTTTTTGTTTTTGTACTTTTATACTTTGAAAAGTATGAAAGTACTTTTAGAAGCTACAATCAAATAGAGCCTTAATTAATTGATTATCATGTTCATATGATGAAAAACAGAAATAATTTAAAAAAGAAAGGGAGGTGTTTCAAAAGATGTTGGATTCATTATCATCCCTACTTTATCCCAACTATATGGGATCATCTACATAAATCTTATTTCATCAATCCATTCTATTTAAATTTATATATCCATATTCTTAATTCATTTGCGTCATTTTCAAAATCTAGCCAACAAATAAAGATGATGAACCATGGTGAGTGGTTGAATCAAGCTACTTCTGAAGACTTGCAAAATAGCAGTGAGTCCTGAGGTATATCCCTAGGATGAATTCTTCGATGCTTAAATAAGTAAGCAAGCAAGGGGTCGTTAGGCAAAACCGATGAGGTTGTGGCAAGGAAAACAAGGAAGCAGGGAGCTAGAATGCTATGTACTGCATGTATGCATTTTATAGAAGTGTCTTAATTACCGAAGAATTCTAATCCAATTAGGAAATGGCTTTCTAAACCAGCCCAAAGAACCCATATATGAGAGGTACCCTTATTCATCAATTTATTACTACTACCAATTGCCCTTTTTTATCTACCTTAAATTCTTATAAATTCTTCAAAAAATATTAATTATTTGGGAAAAATTTATGATACCAAAAAATTATAAAGATGTTTAACCAATCAAAACTTATTCGTGAATTTTAATAAATACCACCTGATTGATTAACCTATACCGATTGATTGGTCACAAATTTTTAAATTTCATGTATTTCCAATATCATAATCCAACCCTAAATATAAATTATAAGTGTGATAGGATGTGCGGTTGCAATCTCTAAATATAAATTAACCTTTTTTCTAGCTCAAAATATCTTAATAAGATATACATTGTTAATGTTAACATTATATGCTCCTTCAACAAGAAGCAACCTAGCAATAGGTTGGGTACTCATCAACAACCCTAACCCCAAACATTTGGGTTGATGACAATAATCTTATTTCACCATTACACTCTATCAACGGAGGAAGACAACATTCATGTAAGTGTAGCTGACTCGAAACTAA